CTTAAAATACTCTCACATTTTCCTGATGTTAATATAACTTCGCTTGCGTTATTGAAATTCTCTCAGAGCTTTCCTTGAATTTCTCCAAACTTCTGTAGTATGCTTCCTGCAACTTCCTTAAAATTGTTTGAACTGCCCTTTGGTTTTCTGATCTTTCCAGATCAGAGAAGTTTCTCTGAAGCTCACAATTCTACAATATCTTCGATCTGCTCTGAAATAAGTCAACTCTTCTAAACACTTTTAAACCTGAAGTTTTCTGAACCCCTGTGAAGATCCCGCATTATGTCTGAATTTTCATAGTGTTTCTGAAGGTCTCTACACTTCCCTGAAATTATCGGGACATCTAAAGGGTTTTCGTATTTTTTTGACGTTGAACTACGTCTTTGTTGACTATACTGGGGTGCAAATCAAAAAATATGTGTTGTGAAATAGTGTTAGGTTTTGAACGCTTGTAACTTTGTCATTTATAGATGAAAATAAAATCCAAATACGCCAATCTATAGGATATTACATTACAAATCAACTTAAATAAAGATTTTTTTTCAATTTTGAACAAAAAAAAAACATTTGAAAAATGTACACATGATATCTTTATCATTGTTTTTATGAAATAAACGATTTTCCATAACCCAGTCGTCATAATCGAGTACCATTTGGTTGTACATCGTTCTGCTTGAATCTGAAAAGATATAAAACAGCGCTGCTGTCATGTCACTCATTCTTTGCTCGACATCGATTTTGTTTCGTTTTGTGCTGTCGCGTCGCGCCGTGGAAGTGTCGCCACCTTCTCGCGTTCTGGCAAGTTAACTTGAACTTGCAAACACGAAACAAATGGTGCGTAAACGTGCCAATGAGTCAGCAGCGGACCCTTTAAAGAAGGTGCTAATCAAGCCCAGCGCGTCGCAGGATGACGCCAGAAAAAGAGTACTGCAAGCCAACCAGTATGCAGTACTCCCGGAAGAAAATGGCGATGGTGACGCCGTTCCCATTGCAAGAAGAGAGCGGATTCCCCCGCTTTTCACGCCGGTGAAGGATGTTGCCAAGCTGGGTGCCGAACTGGCAAAACACAAGCTGCTGCCTTGCTTCAAGCTTTGCAGCATCGGTACCAAAATCATGTGCTCCAGCCTGGAGGAGTACACACAAATAGGATGTTTCCTGAAGGACAACAACGTGGACTTTTTCACGCATGATTTGCCATTGAGCAAGCCACTGAAGGTGGTTTTGCGTGGATTACCGTCGTTCGAGGCGACTGCGGTGAAATCCGAGCTGGAGCGGTTTCGGCTCAAGCCTGAGGCAGTGTACCCGATGAACCGGCGTCCCAACCACAACATCAGCTTCCGTGATCAGTTGTTCCTGGTGCATTTCACGAAGGGATCCACCAGTCTTGCGGCTCTGAGATCCAAAATCCGGGACCTGTTTCAGGTCATCATCAGTTGGGAGCATTACAAATCCCAAGATCGTGATGTAACGCAGTGTATGAACTGCCTCTCATATGGACATGGCACCAAAAACTGCCACATGAAGACAAGCTGCGGCAAGTGTGCTGGAACTCACTCAACTGCGTCCTGTGAGCAAGTCGATGACATCGAGCCAACTTGTGTCAACTGCGGTGGAAACCACCAAGCCTCCAATCGCGGATGTCCCAAGCAAGTGGAGTTCATCAATATCCGTCGGAAGGCCACAACCAACAACCAGCTTGGTCACCTCCGTAATCATCGTTCGGCTCCTGTATTCACGGAAGTCCAGTACCCAGCACTCCAGTCCCGTCGACATGTTCCGAACCTAGCCCCACTTCCGCTCAACAACCAACAAGCCAATCCTCCAAATGGTTCCCAACAGTCGGACAGTTCAGCTTCGTCTCGCTGCTGCTGCGGCCCAGCCAATTCCAGGTTCATCTACCGTTTCCCTGGTTTATCATACGCTGGTGCTGTCTCAGGTGAATCTGTCGACGATTCTCCGTTCACCTCGGAGGAACTTGTGACGATCGTGACCGAGGTCATCATCATCATGCGCACCTGCAACACTCGATCTGAACATCTACACGCTGCCCTATCCCTTGTCACTAAGTATGGACCGTGAAGGCATCAAGATCGTAAATTGGAATGCTTGCCCCTTGAAGAGCAAAAACATCGAGTTTGTTGACTTTCTCAACGAACGGCACATCGACATAGCTGATGATGCCGATGATCGAGTGCATCATGTTAGGAACCGCGTCAAATATGGTGCCTTCACGGTACACAAAGCTCAAATATTTTTTTTAAAGAATGAAAGTTATGAACTAGAACTATATGTTGTATATATGGGGTTTAATCCATTCTATTTGGTATGTAATAGGCTTCAATGAAACAATCAAATTGACATTCCATTTATTCAATTACAATGTTTGCTATTTTATAGATTTTTAATTGAGCACAGGTAAAGATAAACTGAATTTACGTTATGTTAAATAAGTTTTAGTTGAAATCCACTTGATTGATGATGTCAGGTGCGCTTTTATTTCTAAAGTTGTTTTGTCATGACTAACATTACTAGATACACACTAAGATTATTTTACAGATTTCTGTAAAATTTTACCGAAATCTCAACAGCTGAACGTTCGGTAAACCATTTTACAGTTTTCCTGTAATTATTTACAGATATCTGTGAAAAATTCACAGATATTTGTGAAGAATTACAGGAAATCTGCGAAACTGTTTACCGAACGTTCAGCTGTTGAGATTTCGGTAAAATTTTACAGATTTCTGTAAAAAATTCTAAGTGTGTAGAGCTGGAATTAGGGCGTAACAGCTTTTGTAAACAATGACTTCTATCGATGATTTCTAGGAACTCAAGGCACGCCCACGCAAACCAACATAACCATCGGATAGGGGAAGTCTTTCCCTACCTGATGAGGATGTTGGTTTGCGTTGGGGAGTCTTGAATTTCTAGAAATCGTCGATAGAAGTTATTGTTTACAAAAGCTGTTAGGCCCTAATTCCAGCTCTATCTAGATTAGTAAGTTTCCGAAAGTTGAGTGAACATTAGACTGATGCAAAATTTGAAATTTTCGCTCCACAGTATTCAAACGGTTTCAAATCGGGTCCTGATTAGCCTCCGAAAGTTTAAACTCACTTGATAAGAAACTGACTTGGCACAAACCATTTGATGTTTATGTGGAAATTACTATGGGAAAACCAAACTATTTGTTCATTGTCTTCTAGCCTTTTTACATATTGTACTATTAACAAATTCTATTGCTATTCATATGGGAATTTTTGTCAGCTACAACTTTGCAGAAAATCGGTTTTCAGCCAAACGTCAAATTAAATAGTTATTAATTGTTTAACAGATTGATAATATTATGGCAAGTTTAAGCAACTGTATTGTGGGCAACACTGTATTCTGCCGAGTGACCACCTGATTTTTGTCCTCTATTCTACGCGCCATAAACACCAATGTTGCCTGCTGAACAGTTGACAGCAGCATTATCATAAGACATCAGTGACTTGAATCATTAATAATTTTTGTTCCTTACATTTGATCAAAAAGTGATCTTCAACAAAGTTGTAGCTGAGAAAATTTTTAACAAGCTTAACTAAAAATTTCTAAAGTAGAGTGAACTGGTAAATTTTAGGATCGATATGAACCGAAATTTTGGTTTCTCCATAGTAATTCCTATATAAATTTCAAATGGTTTGTTTCTCACTAAATGAGTTTAAATTTTGGTAGGCTAATCAAGGTCCAATTTGGAACCGTTTGAGCACTGTGAAGCGAAAATTTAAAATTTTGCATCAGTCTAGTGAACATGTTTGGAACATAATTATGAATAATAATGGAACCGATTTTCAAATTTCAAAAATTAAATCCTAATTTTAGGATTTATTCAACAACCGCCTGATTTAAAAAAAAATAATGAATTATTCATTTTGGAGTATATATCCGAACCATTTTATTTATTTATTTTTTTCCCTTGATTTGTTTTCCGTCGATCTTGTTTTCCGTGCTGAGCACCAATGCTACCGACGCCAAGGAGGTAGCTCCCACACCTGGACCCTACCTATCGACCTATCAACTCATGGACCGGGGACCAACGGGTTTACTTCCCTTCCGAAGGAAGGCATGATCAAAGATGTTATGTCTCAGAAAATCCCGGCGGCGCCGACTGGTATTGAACCCAGGTCTTTTGGGGTACGGAGGCTGGTTCGTCTCCGGCTGAAAGTCTCCTTAATAAAGATAACTGACTAACTATTTTTTTGGGTAAGAAGCAATCACGGACCACCGGCGCCGCTATTGATTTTTTTGTTAGTAATAATAAATATTTTATATTATTGAATGGAGCAGCAAAAATCTACGTCAAAAATGTGGTCCTGCACAACCCTTAACTTTTTGTTATTGGTATTAGTGCTTGGTATTCAATGACTACCCGCGACCACCCACAACCACATCACTACTTCATACGCGGCCACTAGGCTAACCGCGGTGAAACAGAAAAATGCGACTGCACCCCTGCTGAGGAATTGGATGATGCTTTAACTAGCACCGATATTGACCTGACCGATCCAGATCTTGATCACCCCTATACGCCGCAGCATCCCCCTTATAATTCATCGATCGCCGCGCCGATCAAAAACACATCTCGGTCGAGGTCGGCTTCTGTGCGGACTCACCTCCCCATTGTGAATCGATGCTAAAAAGAAAAGCAAACAATTTCTTCCACCAGCTCTAGGCTTCCGATTTGCTCGACATCTACCACCACCTACCGACCAAGGCAGCGTGGAGGCTGGGTGAGGCTTTTTTCGGAAACCTTCGCTCATTTCCATTTCAAACTCGGCGCGAATCAGTTCAACCTGACTGGAAGCCGCGCATCATCCATCACACGGTTCATTCATCATCGAGCGTTCCCAAAAGCAAAGTTCGGTTGGATCTGGAGAATAACCGTGCACGATTTTCGGATTTTGGAGTGATCCAAAAAAAAATCAAACGCACGCATTCTGTGGATTCTGCGTGCGAGAGGGTGCGGGCGCGCATTCCTCCTTTCGGCGATTCCGGTAACGGATTATCGCTTGGAAAAGAAAACTTATTTAACGCCTTTCTTCCGGTGGCAGTGAGTGTGAATCAACGAAACGAAAGCAGCGGAGATTGGAGCACAATATTGGCACAACGTGACTGGTTGATTTTCGTGTTCTGATTCCAGAAACTCGGAATGGGATTACGGAGCAAAGTGCTATGAGTGGAAAGTGAAGCTAATCAAACATTGTTGTGTTGGATGTTGGTATAGAAGAAAGCGAAAACTGATTGACTAGAACATACGGTGGAAGAAGTTTAAGAATTGATACAGAACAAAAACATGAAGGTGCTACTACTGGTTTGCAGCTTCACGGCGGCGGTGGTCACTGCCTTGGGCGAACAATGTCCAGATCAAACACGACCTCATGCAACCCGCTGCGATCAGTACTTCCGATGCGTGCTGCTGCCGTCGAAAACGCACGTCTGGATTCCGACGAAGTGCGATAAGGGCCTAATCTATGAACCACAGCTTAAGACCTGTGTTTTGCCTGGTGAGTTAAGCTCTAAGCTCTATTTCTGTCCTTAGGTGGCTTTTGGTGATCCCTTTTCCGCTTCCCTACATCCCATACTCACTCGCATTCTGGTTGCCTGGTCCATCTGTCCCCTTCTAGCTTCACCTGCCAAGTTCAGCTCATTTCAACAAACTAACATCTGGATCGGGTCCTAACTATAAAACCGTTCGCTTGATTGAAGTCGGTGTCGGTAGGTCGGTCGCGGTGGCATAAACTGAAAGTGAAACCAAAGTGCAACGTTATTATTTTCACACAATTTTTATGCAACTATGAGAGAAGAAAAGACACTGCAGGAACTAAAAAGGCGATCGGCAGAGGTCGACTCTAATCGGGAAAAAATAGTGCCATAATAACTGACGGTGATGGATAGGTGGTTGGGGGTGGTTGCACACATAACAAAAGTCTCGATCTGATAATGCATGAAATGTGCTGCTATTTGGATCCATTAAAAAAAAAACCCGCGCGCTACTGCTGAAGTGAGAGACCTGAATAGAGGTGCAACAACAAAAAGCGCGCGCCAAGTGAATTGCGTTGATGAACTCAAATGGACTCTGAGCGGGTTGTGTCGGCGGCGGTGCCAATGAAGAAACGGAACTACACAATTGTGAAAATGGTTTTTCAGCTGAGAAAAATGATACGTCTTGCGACGATGGTGATATGCAAAATGATGCCGCCCGTCACCCGACTCAGCTGGAGTTCTGTAACAGAGCGCAGCATTGAAAGGCAGGTTAGCTCGTGATAAATGCGCAATCTTCCGAGGTTGCATGTTCATTGGCTACCGATAATGGGTACCACAGCATGCACGAGACCGTTGGAGACAGTTTGAAGAGGAGGCAGCAGCTTGGAGAAGTTATTGCATAAAAGAGTTGGGTTGGATGCATGAATGTGATTCCGTTTGTAAAGCGAAGGATTGCGGTAACACTAACAAGCGTTGATCCTGTTTGGGCAGGATTAAGTGAATATAATATTAAGGTGACAATTGGTACATAAATACCTCGTGATGTGGTTCTTAGTTCGGATTTATTAAAAAATAATAGATATATAATCTATAATCGGCAGCCTAATAAACGCTCATTAAAAGAAGGGAAAACTCCGATAGTATAATGCGAAATTACGAGCTAACTATTTTGTATTGCAACTTTTAATTTTCAATTGCTACTTTCCACTAGTCTATTGCTCATTTTCAATAGTTTATTGCTCCAGAACAAGCAGGTTTATCTGAAGGTCGACATCGATACCAACCCGATAATTTCAATCAGGAGCACTACACACTTATAGCGAATTTGTTTATTATCGGGGTTGGAACCAGTTCCAACCCAGTGCGAAACCGAACTTTTTGTCAGTGCAAACCTCAACCTGAGCTAGGTTTTAAAAACAAACGATCAAACTGACGTTTGCAAGAAAACAAGCAGACCCGATCTTGATACCCGATCCAGGTTGGAACTGAATAATAAACAAATTCGCTATTAGAAAAAAATCATGTAAATTTAGGTGCCTGAGACTGACATATACGAGCGTCAATTTTGACATAAAATTGAGTCATAACAGACGCGCAATTCAACTCAATCAAACGTAATTTTCGTCGAGTAACGAACTTTTCAGTCTCGGAGCACTTAGTTTTACACGACATGTTTGTTTACGTCTCATTTTTTATGTCAAAGATCAGTGATGGAAAAGTTCGCAAAAAATCACTATGACTCGCGAACTTTTCCCTTGGAGAACTTCGTGAAATATCGCGAACTTTTCCAACACTGTCAAAGATGGATTCCGTCACGTGTAAAATTAGTTATTTCTAAGAGTGAATTAGTCATGAAAATTGAAACCAAATTGCTTTTTTTTTAAACTGGAACTCAATTGCTCAAATTTCACGAAACAAAAGATGCAAAACAGTTAGGGCTAAGATCTAATTTCCGTCATAATAAGCACAACTCGCACTTTACCTCTCTCTTACGATTGGGTTTGAAGAAATAATGGATTTTTTTTTCTATCAGAGACGACTTCTAAATTTATGTACCTTTCCATTCGTACCAGAAGATTTTAGAAAGAATAACAAATTGATGAGAAATTGATTAGAAATCTAACATCGCTTCTTGACTCCATTTCCGGCATATGAGATTCAACTCCGTCACAACACATTGAAACGTCATTGAATTCATTTCTGCATACGAACAGGGATGCCAGATAGTTTTGCAAATTGTCTGTGCGAATGCTAATGAAATGTCTGTATTTAGCTGTCGTGGATTTTTAATAGAGAGAGCGAGTGAAGATGGGACTAGAAGAGGTATTTTGGGAACGCTTTTTCTGAGCACGGTTGCAAAAAAAAACATATTTGTGGTATACATAGTTGGAGATGCTTAACATCAAATATCAGCTTAAAGTGGTCATTTTATACGATAGATGAGAAGATGAAAGTATAGAGTTGATAGTTCTGTTAGAGCATGGCGGTGTAAAAATTGTATATAGAGAGTAGAAAGTGAGCAAAGGTCAATTTTGATGAAGACACGAATCGGGTTGATTGTCTCCTTTACAAAACTCCCCCATTTGGGAGGGATGTTGACGGGTATCTCCACCCGCCACCACTGGCAAAAGAGATGATCGCCGATTTGCTCACGTACCTTCGATGTGCGGAAACAGTTGTATCGATTGATTCACACTCAAGTCGTCCTCTGACGTAACCATCTAGTCGATAGGTTTGGCAACTGCAGCTATTGTTGCCTCTACCACTGTATTGTCTCCTGTCATCGTCAACTTAACGATCTCGAGGAGACACGGGTAGTGGAGTTGTTGATACTCAGAGTTGCCAGATTTTCTTTTTTCAGAAGTCTGCGAAAAATGCCTGTGAATTTCAAAAATGTCAGTGAATTCAAGAAATGTATGTAATTGAGCTGTATATACTTAGCAAAAGTTGAAATAAATGCGATATTTTAAATGTCAGTAAAAGTCTTGTTCAAAACGTAAACAAACAGAAAATGAATTTTAAATTTTTCCGCCATCATTCAATTCATATTCAAAAAAATTTAAGTATTTTAGGCATTTATATTGTTCACAATAACAATAGTAACTGTATCTCAGTATACAACATCCAAAATATACGAAAAGGTTTCAAAAATATATGAAAATCGATAACAATTTAATTTCATAAATTAATAAGCCTTTTTGTGGATCTTTCAATGGATAGGCCTTTTTTTGTTAAGCCGTTGTGCTTGTCATCAGAAATGGTACGCCCTTTGTTAAGCCTTTTCGCAACGTCAAATACATTCAAAACAAATCATCAGCCCTGCCTCAAGCAGCAGGGCCTAGCTTTGGTTTGAAAATGTTCAATCATCGGTCCTTCTACGTCACTAGGCGTATCAATGAAATGAAATAAATGAATGCTTGGCCGTTTTAGCATCCGGGCCTATTAATGAATCGAAAAATTTCGTTGATCAGCCGTTTCGAAAATCAAGTTATTTTTAATGATTTTTCTCGATTATGCGGAACTTTCCTACACGATCAAGCGGTGCTAAAGAATGGTATCAAAACCCGAATTGTTTACGTTTTGGACATAGGCCCATTTCAAACGTTACTCGAGAAATTACGATTACACGACAAATGAGGTCGAATTCAAGTTGAGATTATTTATTTATTTAATTAAATCTTCAACATAATGTTGTACAGATATTTTCTAGGCTATCACACAAAAAATAATCGTTAATAAAATTAAAAAAACCATTGGTAGAATTAAAAGTTTGCGTTGGTTCTTTTTGGTAGAAAGTCTTTAGAATTTAAAATAAAATTTCGCCTACTATCAATTCAAAAGTTAACCGCTCCCTACTTTTAAAAGTTCAAACTTTCAAAACGAATTGTACTTCTGTCAAAACAAAAGCATGGCAGTGTTGGAATAAAAAGTGGATTATTTTAAATTCAAAACTAATTTTTATCATGAAAGTGTGGTCTAATTGAAACGATCTTTTTCACTTTGAATTGAACAATTAAAATATTTTCATTTTAAATGCCAGCATTGTCAGTATGACATGTAGAGTTTTTTTTTTATTATTCAATTTTATATATATTATTTTTATTATGATATCAAATCATGGCTCGTGATGAACTGATGAACTCAGACAGTATGTATCAACGGTTTTGGATCGTTAGATATCATGCATTTGGCACACTGTAAGCATTGCTTTTATCTCTGCCAGTAGTCTCCAGGCCAGCTCCCTGGTTTCCTTGAAGATTGATAATCCTTGTTACCTGTGAACATGTTGAAGGGTCTATAATTCAAAATCATTGAGAAAATAGATTACACCTACAGTAAATATGATGCACATTGTACAGTCCGAGGAACAGTTAAATCTGGAAACGAATCCGGCAAAGGCCTCGGGCTTCGCATTTATTTTGGCAGTAATTGATTGCTAAAGTTCAATCGGTGCGGCACTCGATCGTGGTATCTTGGGATAATATGAACGGTTCCAGGCCAAGTTTGGCCAGCAGATGGTGCGAACCAAGAAACGTTCATTTTGGGTCGTTTTGAGGTATTACTGTAAACAGCGAAAGTAGTAAGCATTTATAAAGGTTATTTAAAAATATAAAAAAAACACTTACTGGATCGTCGAGTAGGGCCTATTTGATTTGATCCAACATTTCAAACCCATTCACGGAAATCTAAAACCGGAAGCCAACTTTAGGGACGGGCAGAATCTATGTTTGGGAAGTGGATTGATATGACACTACTGCTGCTGCTTCTGTTTTGTTTTGCATGTTTTATCTTAAAATTTAGCGGCAAAATTTCAGTGCTGCCAAAAGTGTTGGTGTTTAGAGGTATTTTTGACAGTAAACCAATTTTCATTTTAAAAAAATGCACTTTTAAAATTACGACTCATAAATGAACGAAAAACTTTCAAACCAAAAAAATAGCTTTCGTTTTGAAAATATTCGTTGTTGAAACTATGAAGTTTGAGGAATTTTCAATTTGAAAGTGAATTATTTTTATTACAACA